TCTCTGCTGGACTCAATTAAGTACTCGCAGCTGGTTGTTGAGTAGCTGGGGGAACAGCAGCAACAGGGCATGCATCTGTCGTCACACGGGAAGAAGCTCAGGCTTCTCTACATGGTGCTCATCAAGAGGGTTATCAGAAAGAGTAGAAGAAATACATGGTCTCTTGTGTGTTAGAATTGTCACTTGCACAGCCACACTTTTAAATTATGTTTTTTATTAAAGCACATCAGATGCCAGGATAAACTTAAGGTGTGGGAAAAAAATCTACCTCTTGATGGGAGAATCTGCAAACTACTATGGCTATTTTTGCAATCATCAAAGTAATATACTTAAAAGAATAGAATAGAATAGAACAGTGTATAAATACACTTTTATTTCTAATAAATAGTATATATACATACACACAAGCAGATTGATAGATAATAACAATTATTTTAATATTCCTCCCAAGTCCTGCAAATACCAAGCCCACTATTATCACTACCATTCATTGTTAATTTCACTGTTTGTGCCTTTACTCAAAACATAGTTTATAGCCATAATAATTGCAAGTATGTATAAATGTTATCTCTCCCATTTACAATTAAAGACAAAGTGACTTTGACAAATGTCTCTGTCATTTTCACTGTAAATCAGCAAGTAGAAATCAATTATATTTTAATCAATGTCTTTTCAACGAACTTATAAATCCTTTTGATTCTAAGAAGCCTTTTATTCTGGTCATCACTAGGCAATTATATCAGTTAATATGTACCTGAAATATTTTACAGATTATAATTAAGAAAATTTAAGCCCTGGCTGGCGTAGCTCAGTGGATTGAGCGCGGGCTGGGAACCAAAGTGTCCCAGGTTCGATTCCCAGCCAGGGTACATTCCTGGGTTGCAGGCCATAACCCCCAGCAACCGCACATTGATGTGTGTGTGTGTCTCTCTCTATCTCCCTCCCTTCCCTCTCTAAAAAATAAATAAATAAAATATTTAAAAAAAAAGAATAAGCACTTTCCAGTGCTCTCAAAACTTGACCAAGAAATATATTAAATGGCTTTTCTTTAAAAAAAAAAAAAAGAAAATTTAAACTAGATTGCCATATATTTTCTCCCTCTAGTTTCATCTGCATTTACATTTTAATGATCTATATTATTGATGTAGAATTTCTGTATTTAAGAAAATATCATTTTTATATAAAAATAACTATAAATTAATTTGGAGCATGCACACATAAATTTAGTTCCTTTTTTTATCATGAAGCCTAATAATTAATCAATGGTAGTAGACTAATAGACCCAGTCATTTGTTAATTATTTTCTTTACACTGCAGTCAATTTTCACTTAATAATATCTGTGACTATTTAGGAAAAATTACTGTCATTTGATTACTAATGTTTTTAACATATTTTTGTGATTATCTTTTAGATTCCATAGAGCGAATATTATTTTATTTAAAATGGCCCTTTACTGTTTATACAGAAGCTATTTCATTTGGCTTAGGCTGCCTTACTTATTTCAGTAATACCATGGAACATGTAAATTTTTCTGAGTAAAAGCATTATTTTCCTGGTTTCATGAACTTGCAATAGGAAAGCATAATAAAAGTAATATGAGAAGTGCTTATAAATGTTAACTCCACTTGGATTTATTTTATTCTTAAAAATACACTTTTAATTCTATGGTCTTTATGATATCATCCAGCCCTACACTATTCTAATTTAGGTTGTCGATCATGTATTCTAAAAATATTCCAAAAGAGAACTTATGATGACATATTTCTGAATTAGTTTCTAATTTATAAAACAGATATCTTCTTTGTATTGTGTTAGAATTTCAAACGTTAATATCTATTATAAATTTTTAACTATTTAAAATAGGTCATTATTTCATACATATGTATATTTATTATAAAATCACTAATGTCTGAACTATAACCTTAAATAAAGTTTACAAATAATTTATTGGGGAAAAAGTATTTATATAAAAGTAAATTGTTTAGATTAATATATTTTTAATATGCATGACAAATATTTTCTAAAAACAAATTTATATACTAATGCTATTTTCTTTTTGAACTGAAAGGACAATAACCAAATGTTATTGCTGTATGTATTAAAAAGTTATACAGAAATTTAAAATAAATGTGTGTTTATATGTATGTATAATTATGAATAAAACAATTGATTTTAAATAATACATTGTGGTATATACATAAACACAATTGAGATGATATAATTTTCTAATTTCTTAAAGAGTAAACAAAGTCTAGTTAAACTAAAAATATTTACATCTTATTAATACTGACCTTTCCCCAAATCTATACCGTGTGTTCATTTTATTCATAGCAGAAACTTTTTTAAAATTTAAATTATTTATTGTTGTTTAATTACAGTTGTCTGTATTTTCTCCCTCCCCCTCTTCCTCCACCCACTCCAAACCCCCTCCCTCCCTTACTTCCACCCTTCCCCTTGGTTTTGTCCATGTGTCCTTCATTAGTTCCTGAAAGCCTTTCTTCCCCATGTCTGCTCCCCCCTGCCCTCTGGCTATTGTTAGATTGTTCTTAATTTCAATGTGTCTGGTTATATTTTGTTTGCTTTTCTCTTTCATTGAGTATGTTCCAGTTAAAGGTCAGATCATATGGTATTTGTCCCTCACCACCTGGCTTATTTCACTTAGCATAATGCTCTCCAGTTCCATCCATGCTGCCACAAAGGGTAGGAGCCCTTCTTTCTTTCTGCTGTGTAGAAACTCTTGATACTCTGTAAAATACCATACATATTCTGAAATTATAAAATTATTCATACAGATGGCTTATTTTATACTTTAGTTATAATCTGAAGATAGTAAGCTAGTAAAATAATATTTGATTACTTGGAAAACTCCCTTTTATTTTGAGTAAAATATGGGCAAGTACATATTCTATTTACTAATGTAAAACATTGTAATGGAAATTCTCAGAAATACTTTTCCCACTTTCCTGAATTATTCCATATTAAAATATTATTCTTTTGGCTAGTTTAGTTATCTTTCTTGTGACTGCAAAGCAACAAAGAGGTCTTGCCAGTTAGAAGCTCTGCATTGACTATTTTGTGGTTTTGGTGTATTTTCACAGCTCTAGAGCTAATTATTTCTATTCAATTTATCTTGTATTTCATTCCTGTCTGTGTCTTCATTGGTCGACACAGTTCTTCACAAAGTTTACTAACAAATTTTTGTAATGAATATTTCAATGTCTTAGTCAAATGAACTTCAAGTCCTTCTTGTTTTTCCTTACTAATTAATTTTCATTTATCTAAGTAGGATAAACAGTATTCTGAAAGTATTCTATTCATTTAAAGGTGTTTCTGAAGTGACTAAGTTTTAAAAGTAACAATAATGCAACATTTTATTTTTGTATACGTGAAACATTGCAAGAGCTTTGTATGGGGCAAATTCACTCAGAATCTAGATTGTGAAAATATTTTTCCTTAATCCAGCAATTTAAATGTTAGATAAAGTAATGATGACACTTCAACCATTATCACATAAAATTTAGAAGTAAGTTTTTGTTTCAACTAAAAAACATAATTTACTTCTCTATTTAACATTTTAAGATTAATTTTGTCTGACAAGAAGAATGTTAATGAGAATTTCAGGATTTCAAATGTAAGGATATGTATTTCTCCCATCTGCACAATTAATTGAGATATTCCTCATAAAACTACTGAGGAATCAAGTTATTAATCACAAATCTTGCATATCTTATCATCTTCCTCATGTTGAGCTCTGAATACAGCTAAAGACCTGAAAAAGTTGATTAAGCACATCCAAGTGTCTAATTGAGCAATGTTATCTAATAGGGGTGTCCAAGCTTTTGGTGTCTCTGGATCACACTGGAAGAAGAATTGTCTTGGGCCACACGTTAAATACATTGCAAAATGTATATGGGAAACATCATGAAATAATCTCATCAGGATTTAAGTAAATTTATGATTTTGTGTTGGGCCTCATTCACAACCATCATGGTCTGCATGCAGCCCATGGGCCACAGGTTAGAACCACCAGGAAACATTAACTTTTTTTTCTATATTTGGCTAAAATTGCTCCAGACAGGGTAGTCTTCATAGATTTATTCAATTCCCAGTCAGGGCACCTACAAAAAGCAACTAATCGATGTTTCTCACATCTGTTTCTCTGCTCTTTCTCCATCCCTTCTCCTATCTCTAAAAATAAATAAGTGAAATCTTTAAACTATAGTATTGTAATAGCACTTGAGGTGCTTTGATAGAACATTTATCCTCATTGATTTTCCAGTTTAAGTGAAAAAAAACTTTTCCATTCAATTTATTTTAATATTTCAAGTAGTCAAACACTATGCACTTGAAGAACCCAAATAATATATCTAACATGGATTTTGGTGAACTAATAGTAATTTTAGATAGAAGCTTTAGTAACTAACTAGGGGTCTTAGATAGTTTTTTCCTGATGATATTTTAAATAAGTATTTCCCTTTTTGTCCATATAAAATACTTTTGTATCCCAAGGCTCCCTTGCTATATAAATGGTTGGGGAAAAGTAAGTTTATAGTTGTGAGTGCACAAAACACAACATTTATTCTTATTATTTATTAATAAATATGGACAACTGTAAATCTATTTTTGCCTTATCTTCTATACACTTTATCTTCTATTTGTCTTGTGCACTTACTCATCATTTAATTGATAATTTCACTTATGTGAAAACCAGAAATTGAATATTAGTAGTAAAGAAAACACAAAGTTTTAATTTAGAGATATAGATTAGGATGAACTCATATAATAACACCATTACTGTTATATTTAAATTAAAACATTGGAAAAAACATATAGATGTATTTTGTCAAGTTTTTAAAGCAAAAATGACTAAAAAGCTAAACAAAATAAGCACATTATTTTGAAATAAATTTATTTCAAAAATGTTATATATTTCTTATTAAAAATGTACAGTCAATGGATAAACACTTTTTCCTTATAACTCTATTTTCTTTTTTTACAGGTGACACAAACATCTACTATTCATGATGTTAAACAAAAATTTCACAAAGCATGTAAGTTTTGTGTCTATTTTAGAATTTATATTACAGTCTTATTTTTATTGAATCATAATTATCTATAAAAATAAGTACAATGTTATGAGAGAAAGAGTGTGTGGACAGAGTATTTAACATGTGGCTCAGAAATAATATGGTAAATACCTCTGGGCCATGAACATTCTTGTGTCTTATTCTCTAACTGATGCTTTAATCCTCATTATCCCTTTGTTTTTTCATAAAACTCATTTTTAGTTCATATCAGAGCAATTTTCATTCTAACAGAAAACTTCCTATATATACAAACATTAATAAATACAAGGTATTTTTTTTTACATTTAAGCAAAATATTAAGCAAAAATTTTACTCCATGTATTTATACCTGTCAAATTGCTTCCACATATTATTTAACTATATTAATAGCTAAATATAATCTATTAATGGATCTCCTATAATTATTTATTTATTGATATGACATTAGTATGCTAGATTTTTATTTTTACAACATTTTAACAAGGTTTACTCATAAACACTAAAAATGTCTATAACTGCTAGGGTACATTTTTTAAATGATTTTTGACACCCATCATTAACACCCCACATCAGAGTAGTGCATTTTTTACAACCCGGTAATCTGCATTGACACCACATTATTACCCAAAGTTCACAGTTTACTTCGAATTTTGTTCTTGGTGCTCTATAGTCTAGAGGTTTTGCTATGGAGAATTTTCAGTCCTTTAGTTGAATCATGTTTCTTTTCTTAAAATATGCCTAAAGTTTACAAATTAGAACATTAACCTGTTCAATCATAACAGTAAAATAGGTAGAATTGTTTTTATTATTTTCATTATTTTTTCAGGAAAACATAGAATATTTACTGAATACTTTCTGTACATATGACATTATGCTAGACATACTGACTAAATGGAAGTAGAAGACATCCCTGTTTGACTTCAAAAATTACCCTCATGAGGAAGGTAAATAAAATAGTCAATGTATCTAAAATTTATAAACATAAGGGGAAATATTTTAGAATTTTTAATAGGAATAGAAAGCATACACTTGTTGGAAAAACATTATTTGAAATATGATTTAGATTATTTTTATGGACTTTTTAAAATGTTCAATTACAATTGTCCCCATTCTCCCCCATTACTGTACCCCTGACCTACTCACCCCTACCTCACACATTCAATCCTCCTGTCCCCTAGCATGGGTCTTTATACATGTTTCTTGACTTGCCCTTTCCCCTTCTTTCCTCCTTTATCCCCATCTCCCATAGCATCTAGTCACTGTCAGTTTGTTCTTTATTTCTGTGTTTCTGGTTCTACTTTGCTTGCTTGTTTGTTTTGTTGATTATGTTCCACTTATAGGTGAGATCATATGGTATTTATTTGTCACTGCCTAGCTTACTTCACTTAGCATAAAGCTCTCCAGTTCCATCCATGCTGTTAAGAAGGGTAGGAGCTCTTTCTTTCTTTCCACTGTGTAGTATTCCATCATGTAAATGTACCACACTTTTTTGATCCACTCATTTACTGATGGGCACTTAGGCTGTTTCCAGTACTTGGCTATTGTAAATCATGCTGCTATAAACACTGGGGTGAACAGGTTCTTTCGAATTAGTGTTTCAGGGTTCTTAAAGTATAATCCCAGCAGTAGAATTGCTGGGTCAGAAGGCAGTCCTATTTTAAGTGTTTTGAGGAAATTCTATACTGTTTTCCACAGTGGCTGCACCAGTGTGCATTTCTACCAACTGTGGACTAGGGTTCCCTTTTCTCCACAATTTCCTCAGAACTTTTTGTTTGTTGATTTGGTTATGATGGCCATTCTGATTGACGCGAAGTGTTTGTCTCATTGTGATTTTAATTTGCATCAGATCTCTGATGGCTAGTGATGCTGAAGATTTTTTCATCTGTCTGGGCCCTCTGCATGTCCTCCTTGAAGAAGTGTCTGCTCGGGTACTTTGCCCACTTTTCAATTAGGTTGTTTGCTTTCCTGGTGTGGGGTTGTGTGAGTTCTTTATATATTTTGGAAATCAAACACTTGTTTGAGATATCATTGATTTAAATTTTTATAGAGGGTGAGTTCTGCTATTTTACGATAAGGACAGGTAGGTTTTGAATATGCAGAAGAGAACCAGGAAGAAATTATATTAAGAAAAAAAGAACAAAAGAAAATGAGCTCGAAAAGAAAGATCTGCCATAGATCAATTCTCTATTTTTAGCCATCAAATTCTGCATGCATTTATGCCAATATATTATAATTTATTGAAAAAATTTTAAATCTCATATCCATGCCTTATCTCATAATGTATGTAAACCATGTTACCATAATTATTTCCACAAGTATTTCCTATTTACATTCTAAATGTTTTTGATTTATTCCTTTCTTTGCATAAATATGATTCTCATTAAAGTAGTAATGAATGCCATCTTTGGAAAGAGTTAAATCAATTTTATCTAATAAAGTGGTTTCAGAAAATTTTGAGTATTTAGTGAGAGGATATTTAAAAATAAGTTTTTTTACTATAAAGTAAAAAAGGGCAGACATGTTTTTATTTAAATCGATATGACAATGTAAGAAATACATTGTTTCTGTATTTGTCCTGAAATGAGGAAATGAATAACAGACTAATGAATTTTTAGAAACAATATGCAATCACTGCCTTGTGTGATTCCATGAGCACTTTCTGATAGCTTGATTGTGTATATAGATATGCATAACAACTACATGGACTCTTAAAATTGTAGAGCCAGAATTTTTATATTTATGTGATCCCAAGCTTATTTCTAGATAGGTGAATGAAGTTAGCTAGTTTGTAGAAAATCCTAGAAATGTCCAGTTTCAGAATTGGAAAATTGAATATGACAATAGTACAGTGAGTATTAATAGCTGATTATATAAATTCTTACGGGTATCTTGACCACTATTAATTTGCTTTTCTAAGCAGTTTTAATCTTTAACAATTGCATAAATTTAAACTTTTCTTTTTTACTTTTCCAAAAGTATCTTCACTTTGAAAGTATATCCATCACTTGTAGAACAATAATAGTCATGAAATTTTGCATTTGTTGTACTAAATTTTAAAAAGTTATCTATCTTCAGATTTTAGGAAATGAAGACGCAAAAACGTATTTTGCTTGTATTGCATTACAGAGAAGTATCTCAAACATAATTAAATTGGGTGTTATGTTTAATATATTTGCCAAATCATAAAAAGAAAGCAAGAAACTTTAACACTAACAATATGTGATGGTATGTACAATGATTAAAAGAAAGTTATGTGTTAATTTTCCTCATATTTTATCTCTTTAGCATATTTAAGAGTACATAACATTGCATTCGTTTTTCAAATCTATATTCAACCAAGAATAATCACATATGTGTATGTATACATGCATATATAGTATATGTACAACAGTTATAACTACGTAACTACAATTGCTAGCTTTCTACAGACTATTTTCTGATGCCAATTTATTATTTTTATTATGACATTTCAGATGCTATTTTTTTTCAGGCCCTGGAGTTATGATACAAATTGTTAATCTTGGAAGTAAAAAAGTAACTTATTGGAAGACTGGTTTCCTGAGGGAAGAATACTCCTTGTGTGTCTTTTATCTCTAGCCTTTGTTCTTCAGGTTTTCTCACTGATCTTGATTTCTTGTCTGCATACTATTTCTCTGACTTCTGTCAGCTTTACATTTTTCTTAGTTTTATTTTGGAACTTTTTTACCATGATTTTCCTTGTCTTATAAAATGACTATCTTATGCTCTTTTAAGGTTCATAATTTTTCATTTCTGCTTTGTTATGAGTTTTTTTTTTTTTTAGATTGCCCTGGTGACACTAGCAATCAGACTGGTAAGAAAATAGATAGGGGAGGGAAATGTGATTACAGTGTTAGCTGTTAAAGCAAAAGGGAAAGAACAATGATTTTCATCAAAAGAGATACCTATTACACTATAAATTTTATATATACACACATACAAAAATGCACACAAAAACATTACATTCAACTATTTCTCCTCTTCTCATTTTAGCTACCAGAAAATTGATGAATTGCCCTCAACTGCAAATTCTCCACCAGTCTTTCTTTACCTCCATCCATTTATTTGTAACACTTAAAATTATTATTCTTGCTTATACCTTGAAGTCTTTCCTGAATAGTTTCAGTGATTTTCACACTCAATTCTGCATATGTTATCCCTCTAGTCACTCCCATCTTTTCACACAGCTTGCATATAGAAATTACTGCTTGTCAAAACCAAGCTGAAAAATAGGGATTTATATAAGTGCAGGGGACACTTGGACTAAAGGAATGTAAAAAATAAATTCTAAGATTTCAATAGAGCTTTAAAAAAAATCCCCATGCAAGTATACAATTACCTGTCTAGGCTGAGTAGCATTATCCCATTTCATGTTATTCAACTAAAAATATTTTCATGTATTCTTTAGTTTAAAAGCAATTACTTCTCTTTTAGAATACAACATGACTTGTTAGAATAATTATCAAAATTTTTAGAAAGCAGCAGAACTTACCAAGAATCACAGCCAAATATATACATACTAATTTAAATTTTTAATGATATACAAGGTCTGTCCAGCCATGGAATATGAAAGAAAAAATACATTTATTGAAGAAGCTACAAGATGCAAGAAACATTGTACATAGGACAATGATGGCCCAGTCCCCATCCAAAGCAGGCACCTTGGGATCTCACAAAATTTTCCCAGTTGTCATCATCTACCCCATTGTGTTTTCTTGAATCTCATCAATGGTCTGCAAACATTTCCCTTTCAAAGGTGATTTTGTTTTGGGAAAAGTGAAAAGTCTCAGGGCACCAAATTTAGGCTGTAGTGGGCTAAATCATCTGGATGATTTGATATTTTGCCAAAACACTCTTCATGAGACACAATACATCATGGTCACATTGTCATATTACCCATAGCTGCAGCCTTCTGAATTATCTGAACATTTTCCTCAGAGGAATGTTCAAGCTTAGCACGAAATTTG